CCTCTTGGTTCTGCCCTGTGTGAAAAATACAAAGAGGCACATGCTCAAGGCCAATCAGGGAAGGGGGAGTGTCTGGGCACATGCAAAATGGAACTTTTTACATATTCATATAGGTGGGAGTGGACTGAGCATTTGCAGGCTCTATTGCACATATCTTTCCCATAATTCAGTATCTTATAATCAGATATATGTATCTGTAGAATATTTATGAGCCCTTAATAGGCTCCTAGCTGCCTAAGGTTACTTGAGGACACAGCTGTGCATCAAGAGTGCTTTTGCCAGAGTGGGAGAAACCTCTGTGGTTAGTTTGTATCCACTCACTGTGTGCTGATTGAGCCTGTGCAGGAGCTGGAAAAGCTTGTGGTTATTTTTGTAACATATCTGTGAGATCTCCTGGGTGTGTCTGGGATGGGGTTTAAGAGATCAGCTTGCTGGTTTTTGGTTACGCCACTCCTAGTTGCTGATGCCTAACTTCCTACATAACAATATAATGATATAGCTCTTAATGGCACAAAGTGTAGAGGAACTTAAAAGCCTCTTGATGAGGGTGAAAGAGAATGAAAAAGCCGGCTTGAAACTCAACATTCAAAAAACTAAGATCATGGCATCTAGTCCCATCACTTTATGACAAATAGAAGGGGAAAAACTGGAAACAGTGACAGACTTTATTTTATTGGGCTCCAAAATCACTGCGGATGAAATTAAAAAACCCTTGCTCCTTGGGGGAAAAGCTATAACAAAGCTAGACAGCGAGAGGTTTGGACCATAAAGAAGGCTGAGTGCCAAAGAATTGATGCTTTGAAATTCTAGGGCTGGGGAAGACTCCTGAGAGGCCCTTGGACTGCACGGAGATCAAGCCGGAACACTAACCGGAAGGACGAGTGCTGAAGCTGAAGCTCCCGTGCTTTGGCTGCCTGATTGTAAGCGCTAACTCACTGGCTAAGACGCTTCTGTGTTTTGCTATCAGAGCTGGTTACCAAGGATGCTCACTACACATGCAATGTCTATGCTTTTCTCTGCATATCATAAGGCTCCATGAAAAGGTTTAAAAGCTCACAGAAACAAAACAGATCATTTGTTGCCACTGGCTGGTTGAAGCAGGAATGGAGAGTGAGTGCCGATGGATTCAGTTTCCTTTTGGGGTGATGAATCTGTCTTGGAATTAGATGAACTGGTGATTGTACAACATTGTGAATGTATGAAATGGCATTGATTTCACACTTCAAAACAGATAAATTGATGGGTGTGATATGTGAATTTTAACACAGTTATTAAAAAAAAAAAGGTTTAAAAAGTAATAGAAGGGGCTTCCCTGGTGGCTCAGTGGTAAAGAATTCGCCTGCCAATGCAGAAGACACTGGTTCAATCCCTGGTCCTGGAAGATCCCACATTCTATGGGGCAACTAAGCCTGTGTGCCACAACTACTGAGACTGTGCTCTGCAATAAGTCACAGCAATGAGAAGCCGAGTGCCACAACAGGAGAGTAGTCCCCGCTTACAGCAACTAAAAAAACCCCCACACAGCAATGAAGACTCAGTACAGCCAAAAATAACTAGATGTTTTTAAAAAGTAATAGACCTCAATCTCATCTTGTAGCCTACAGAACTATCATCATCTTCAAGCATTTGTCCTTTTACTCACTGACTGAGTGCCCTCTGTGTAGCAGGCCCCAGGTGAGACGCAGCAGACAGAGCAGTGATGTAAACAGTTTGGAGCTCATGTCTTTGTGATTCTCTCATTGTTGAAACATGAAAGAGGAGGAGGAGTCACCCAGAAAGAGAGGTGGGAGAACATTTTGGGCAGAAGGAAAAGCAAGTGCAAAGGCTATGAGGTGGGAACAAATGGGTCAGCCTATGTGGTTGGAGCTGAGTGTTGAGATCAGAGGTCAGAAGGAACAGACTCATCAAAATCTGATTGTTATATGCCTGGTAAGATACATAAAATTGCCATTTTTGACTCGTTTTACATATATGATTCAGTGGCATTAAGTACACTGATGATGTGCAACTATCACAACTGTCTTGTTCCCAAATGAAACCTGTAAGGATGGAGAAAGAGATCGGAGTGATACTGCTACAAGACTTCCCCAGGAAGTAGCTTTGGTGGTAATACCTGAAGGTTGGAGGTTGAGTCCTATGCAAGCATGGAGTTTGGAAAGTGAAGAGGCAGTAAGGATGGCTGTCTGCAGGCAGGTACGCTGTCTGCAAAGCCAGAATATAGACAATTTCTAGTGGTCCAGAATTGGAAAGGGTGAGGTACCGTAGAAGGTGGCAAGGAACACAGGAGTTAAGGGTATAAGGTGACGCTGGCTTACTGGGGAGTAAGATCATGCCCTGCCATGCTCTTCTGGACAGGCTGGCTCCTCAGGGAGGACAGAGGCAGGTTCTGGTCTGGCCTTGCCCTCCTGTAAGCCCACTTGTCTCCACCATTGCGCTTCCCCGAGTTGTCTGAGCCTGATTCTGCTCGAACCTGCCTCCACGGATGCTGTTCTGAAAGAATTGCCAGAGTCTAATGAAGGGACCGTAAGCGGGGCAACCGGAGGACCCAACCTGTCCAGCAACTTCTAAGCACTTCCCACCTCTCCCGTCACTGCTCTCTCAGTGCCTGCCTGCCTCAAGGCCTGTGCACTTGCATCTGCATGAACTGTGCTGTTGGAGAAGACTTTTGAGAGTCCCTTGGACAGCAAGGAGATCCAACCAGTCCATCCTAAAGGAGATCAGTCCTGGGTGTTCATTGGAAGGACCGATATTGAAGCTGAGACTCCAATACTTTGGCTACCTGATGCGAAGAGCTGACTCATCTGAAAAGACCCTGATGCTGGGAAAGAGTGAGGGCAGGAGGAGAAGGGGACGACAGAGGATGAGATGATTGGATGGCATCACTGACTCAATGGACATGAGTTTGGGTGGACTCCGGGAGTTGGTGATGGACAGGGAGGCCTGGCGTGCTACGTTTCGTGGGGTCGAACACGAGTCGGACACGACTCAGCGAGTTAACTGTTCTTCCTCCAGCTGTTAGGGCCAGCCCTGAATCCCACACTCTTGACCATCACCTATTTATTTTGACTGTCGGGCCAGGATCGGTATGGCTCATCCCTACCCTACACATCCCTGTGATTTTGGGGCCCAGCACAGAGTGCTGGATGGGGTCATGGAAAGTGCTCAGCAAATAATTACTAAAGGATTCCACACCTCAGGCAGCCCACGGCCAGCCACCAACTTTCCTACTCCCTCTTCCTAGGAGGGAAGCGAGAACTCGGGCCCAGGCCGCGGGGGAGGGCGAGGCCCGCGGCGGGGGAGGGGCGGGCGCTGCGGCGGGGCGGGGCTCGGATTGGGGGCCTCGCCCGAGCCGAAACAAAGGCCGGCGCCGAGACAAAGCCCCGCGGCCCCCAGGCCCTGCTGCGGAGGCCAAAGATCCCGCCTGCCGGGCCGCGCCGGAGGCACTTCCACTGCCGCCTGCGCGTGCGGGGTCCTGGGGAGCCGGGTGGGGGAGGCCGCGCCCCGATCCCCTGAAGCTTTTGCCGGGTCGGTGGAGCCGCGCCAGGCGGAGTCGGGTTTGGGGGCTGGACGTGCCTCCCCTTCAGATTCTCTGCGTCCTCGCAGAGTAGCCGCCGAGCCTCCTCCCGAACTGGAGGCTGCAGGACCGGGAGCCCCGCGCTGGGACGGAGGCTCACCCCAGGCACAGCTCCAGGGCGCCCGTGCCTCTGGTTTTCTCTGCCCGGTGACTCCAAATAGATCCCCTCCCGGCGCCCTTGTTTTCCTCTCAGTACCCCTCCTCCCCCAGCTCCAGCCGGAGGCCCTGCTCCCTTGCCCGCGGGCAGACAGGGCTCCTCTCCCCCCGCCCCAGATTCCGCCCCACCCCCAGGATTCTCCGCCCAGACTCCGTTTCTGACAGGATTCTCACTGAAAGACCGTGTTTGTCTCCCCTAAGATTCCTCCTCCAGGCCTAGCTTCCCACACCTGATAGAACTCTCCCAGACATTGCTTCCTTCCTCAGACAGGCATACCCGCCTCCCACGCAGATCCTGCTCCCAGCTGAGGCAGGCTTACCCGCCCTACAGATCCTGCCTCTATCCTCGGATGGACCTCCCCACAGACTCCGCTCCCCTCTTCAGTCCGCCCACCGGAAGAGTGTCAAAGCCAGCGCAGTGGCTGGCTAAAAGGTGGCCAGGGGCGCTTGGGGACCAGGCGGAATTTCAGTTTCGCTGCTCTGAGCCCCTTGGGAGCTAGCTGACTTAGGTTTCAGTGTTTCTCACGTTAAACAATAAAAAGGTTAGAATGCCAGTAACCGGCCCGGCCACGGGGTGGGGACCCTTGGCCCCTCCGCCAGGGCCAGCATCTCCCCTAGATCTCGGTCCCGCCCCCTCCTGAGAGCGCCCGGTGACGTCGCTGCTGGCGACCTCTCCGGACGGTCCGAGAGGCGGGGACCCAGGCGGGGGCCGACCACGTGCGCGCCAGCGAAACAAGCGGCCTGGAGCGGGCACTACAGTAGCGGGCACGCGCCCGGCCGGCGGGTCAGGCTGGGGCGGTGGAGACGCAGAGGCCCGGCCCCTGCCTCAGGAGAGGCGCTGCGAGGGGTGGTGGCGGGGTGGAGTCGCGCGTGCGTACTCGCGGCCTCGCGCGCCCCTGCCCCGCCTCCGGGCCTGAGGCGCCCAACGCGCGTGCGCGACGGCGTCGGCGCCAGTTATTTCTGTCCCGCCCCCCGACAGTGGCTCTTTCTGCGAGCGGGCGCGCGGGCGAGCGGTTGTACGCGTGCTGTGTGGCGCTGATCTGAGCAGCCGCTGAGGAGGCGGCGCAGGCGGCGGCGGCGGCGGGAGAGCGGGCAGCGGCCGGTGAGCCTCGGTAGCGCCCCGCGCGCAGCGGGCGGCGCCCCAGGCTTCGCCTGGCGGCGCTAGGCCTCGCGGCTGCAGCGGCCCAGCCGTTGGCTGCGAGCTCGTCTGCGCCTGCGTGGCGGGCCCCGTGCCCCTCCTCCCTCCTTGGGCGCCCCCGGCGGCCTGTGAATGGCGGCTTCGGCGGCGGCGGCCTCGGCGGCGGCGGCGGCCGCCTCCGGCAGCCCGAGCCCGGGTGAGGGCTCGGCGGGCGCCGAGAAGCGCGCCGCCGCCTCCTCGGCCGCGGGCTCCGCATCGGCCTCGGCGGCGGCGTCCGCCTCAGCGTCGTCACCCGCGGGGGGCGGCGGCGAGGCGCTGGAGCTATTGGAGCACTGCGGCGTGTGTCGGGAGCGCCTGCGGCCGGAGAGGGAACCGCGCCTGCTACCTTGCCTGCACTCGGCCTGCAGCGCCTGCCTCGGGCCCCCGGCGCCTGCAGCCGCCAACAGCTCGGGGGATGGAGGTGCAGCGGGCGACGGTTCTGGTGAGTGCGGTCGGGCCGGGGGCGTCCCCTCCCCCACCCTGCAGCCAAGGTTCTGAGGAGGCTCGGGTATTGGGGGTCGGTCCCTAGCGTGACAATGGCAGGGGTCATCTGGGTGAGAGGGTCGGGACCGGACAGTGGCCGTAACGGGTGCGGGCTGTGGGTCTCGTACTCGGATGGGGCGACTGTTTCAAGTTAGGTTGAAGAAGGGTTTGATTGCTTCTCCTAGAGCGGAAGGTTGGCCTAGCATGGGGTGGAAGTTGGCCTCTGTGGAGGATGGGATCGCAGTCTGGATGTGAATATGCGGTGATCTTGTTTTCCCCTGTTCTTCGCAGTGGTGGACTGTCCAGTATGTAAGCAGCAATGTTTCTCCAAAGATATCGTGGAGAATTATTTCATGCGAGACTGTGGCGGTAAGGCCGCCACGGATTCCCAGGATGCGAATCAGGTATGTGTTGCCCAAGCGATCCCTGGAAGGCCTCTGGACGTGGGTAGGAGTCTGCAGCGCAGAGCATAGTACCAGCTCCAGGCTTTACCACGGCTTTAGCAGGTTGTCTAGGCTAAGTAAAGGCATCATCTTACCAGGTTGTATTTTCTGGGTCTGAATGCAGATGTGTCTGGTGGTGCTGTCTCTTCTGACTCTGCCTTTGCTCAGCAGTGCTGCACTAGCTGTGAGGATAATGCCCCAGCCACCAGTTATTGTGTGGAGTGCTCTGAGCCGCTCTGTGAGACCTGTGTGGAGGCGCACCAGCGGGTGAAGTACACCAAGGACCACACCGTGCGCTCCACTGGTATGCAACACGGAGGGGGCTGCCTTAATTCTTCCCCTACATGTTTCTCCAGCTGCTTTTGATGCTGGTTGCAGATGGCGGTGGAGTGTCAGGGAATTTCTGAGGGGGTACCAGTTGAAAGGCCTGAGGGCAGGGTTCAAAAAGGGAGAGGCCGGTGCTCTGGTGGTCGCTTCTGCTGGTCCGGGTAGAAGGGGAAAAGCCACAGGCAGGGAGTGGAGTGCACGGGGATCTCATGCTGTACTAGAGGGTGTATGGAGGCTTTGAGGAAGCACTTCAGGGAATCCCCAGGCAGGGAATATGCCTCTGAGATGGAGGGATCTCATGTACGGATAGGGAAATGCAGGCTGTTGGGGAATGTGTGAGGGATCTCCTAGGCTCGAGATTCCCTGGAATGTGGTTTAAGGCTCCGTAGGAAAAGTGAGGTCTTTGGACCTTGTGTCCTCATAAGCCATGAGTGTTCTCAGACTGGCACTGACCAGTGAGTGTTCTAAGTGTTCTTATTGTTAGGTTGCAGATGTTTCAAAGTCTAACTAGGTATCTTCAGATTTTTCTGTGAACGTGGTGGCAGTTCTTTGGAGAGGGGCTTGGGCTTGGTTTTTTCATCCAGAACTCCCTGTGAATGGTGTTTTGGTAGTCATGCCGTGGCTCCTGCAGCCCAGAGGACAGTTTTGATGGGAAAATCCAGATGGAGGTCGTTGCTGTGAGTCATGAGGAGCCAGGAGGGAAGGGCAGGGGTCTCCAAGGGGGTCCTGGGTTCTAAGCAAAGATCAGGGTGCAGGAGGGGGCTGTATTGGGGGGACTGAGATTTGCCTTATCTGTATCTCAATGTTTTTATGTCTCAGGCTGGGTCCGTGTAGCATCAGACGTGATTGGGAAGGAAGGGGCTGGCTGTTCCCAAGCAGTTATCTAACGGCAGCAGATTCTGGGAAGCGGTGGGGGTCACTGTGGTGTATTAGTCTTTGGGGGGTTTTGCTTTGAGCACTTAAGACCCTTTTCCCTGTGCGGGGGCCTGACCCCTCTCTGAGGGTCCTGGTCTGACATCAACTTTGTCCAGCCTGAGAAGGCTTTGCAAGGCTCCTCGTGGGTTGTTAAGATGGTGTGGTCTCCTTTTACCAGAGAAGAGAGAAGAGGTCTCCAGGCGTGGCTCAGGAGGAAAAGGTACCTGACATGTCTTTAGGTCCTTGTTTGCTTTCTGTCTGAGCCAGAAAGTTTTTGCGTGTGTCCGGATGCCATGGTTGCCAGAGTCCCCTCCCCTGCGGCACAGAGTCTTTTGAGTGGAGGAGAAAGGGAGCCCAGCAGTGGGGGCTGCAGAGGTGGAGGAGCTCTCTCGAGTGTCCACTAGGAGGAGTTTTCAGTAGAGAGAGGGAGCAGTGGGGTGGTTGTCAGAGGCCATCGTCCTTACACTTAAGTTGTCACTCCCAGAAGATGAAAGAAGGGAGTGCGGATCTCTTGGTCAAGATTAGGGCAGAGGGTGTTCAGAGCAAGGATTTGGGCCCTTCCCTGTTCACTGCTGTAGGCCCTCTGCGTTTTTTAGCAGATAAGCCAGGGCTGCAGGACAGACACTGTGAGGCCCCAGTCTGTCTGCCCCTTGAGTTGAGGCGGTGAGGACCAGCTCCTGCTTCATAGACCCCATTCCTCAGGGCCAGCCAAGTCGAGGGACGGTGAGCGCACTGTGTATTGCAATGTGCACAAGCACGAGCCCCTTGTGCTGTTCTGCGAGAGCTGCGACACCCTCACCTGCCGGGATTGCCAGCTCAACGCCCACAAAGACCACCAGTGAGTCCTGAGGCATGGTGGGTGGGTGCTGCCCATTCCCATGCTGGGCGCCCGGGCCCACCTCTGTTTGCCCTCAGGTACCAGTTCCTGGAGGATGCAGTAAGAAACCAGCGCAAGCTCCTGGCCTCATTGGTGAAGCGCCTTGGGGACAAGCATGCAACACTGCAGAAGAACACCAAGGAGGTTCGCAGCTCGTAAGTGTGGAAGCCAGTGTGATGGGAGAGGTCCTGGGGTGAGCAGCTGCCCTACTGGCCCTGATCTCACCCTCCGCCCCCCAGGATCCGCCAGGTGTCTGACGTACAGAAGCGCGTGCAAGTGGATGTTAAGATGGCCATCCTGCAGATCATGAAGGAACTGAACAAGCGGGGCCGCGTACTGGTCAACGATGCCCAGGTACCTTCTGTGTGGTGCTTGTCGACAGCTCGCTTTAACTCTGGTAGCAGCGTCCTGGGGGTTTGGCTCCCTCTGCTGGCTGCTGATGGCATCCTTGGGTGGGGAGAGGTTCTAGTGCTGTTTCCTCCCTGACCTATCTTGCTCTCCACCTGCAGAAGGTAACTGAGGGGCAGCAGGAGCGCCTGGAACGGCAGCACTGGACCATGACCAAGATCCAGAAGCACCAGGAACACATCTTGCGCTTTGCCTCGTGGGCTCTGGAGAGTGACAACAACACGGCTTTGTTGCTCTCCAAGAAGCTGGTGTGTGCTGGTGGGCACCCAGGCGGTGGGTTCCGGGTCAGCACCTCCCAACGCCTTGGAGCACTGTCCTTTACCTCTGTACTCATGTACCGCTCTCCCCCAGATCTACTTCCAGCTGCACCGGGCCCTTAAGATGATTGTGGACCCCGTGGAGCCCCATGGCGAGATGAAATTTCAGTGGGACCTCAACGCCTGGACCAAGAGTGCAGAGGCCTTTGGTGGGTATTTGTCTTGCGCTCACTGAAGCTTGCTCTCCCAGGCACTATGCCTTAAGCTGTTTTACCTCCTTGCTGCAGGCAAGATTGTGGCCGAGCGTCCTGGCACCAACTCCACAGGCCCGGCACCCATGGCCCCTCCTCGGGCTCCGGGGCCTTTGAGCAAGCAGGGCTCTGGCAGCAGCCAGGTGAGTAGAGGAGGGGGCTGTGGGGGAGGAGAGGGGCCTGAGGCTTGTGGGTGGCCGGCCTGCTGAGGTCCTCTTGCTTTTCCTACAGCCTATGGAGGTGCAGGAAGGCTACGGCTTCGGATCAGGTGAGTGGTTTCTGCCCGGTAAGTGGGAGAAATCCAACATCCTAGGTTCATCTAACCTATATTTTTCTGTGTCCCGGGCAGATGACCCTTACTCGAGTGCTGAGCCCCATGTGTCGGGGGTGAAGCGGTGAGTGTGACTGTCCTTTGGTGCATGTAGGGACAGGGTGGTCATGGGGTCAGGGGTGCTCAACACAAGCCACACCCACAGGCCCCGCTCAGGTGACGGCGAGGTGAGTGGCCTCATGCGTAAGGTGCCACGGGTGAGCCTCGAACGCCTGGACTTGGATCTCACGGCTGACAGCCAGCCACCAGTCTTCAAGGTCTTCCCAGGCAGCACCACTGAAGATTACAACCTCATCGTCATTGAGCGAGGTGCTGCCGCCGCCGCTGCTGGCCAGCCTGGGACTGCGCCCTCGGGGGTCCCTGGGGCCCCTCCCATGCCTGGAATGGCCATTGTCAAGGTAAGCCTGCTCCTGGGTACTGTGGCTGGGGGGTGGAGGTCTGCTGTCCCCGGCCAGCATCCCACTAAACCACCCCTGCCTCCTCGCAGGAGGAAGAAACAGAGGCTGCCATTGGAGCTCCACCTGCTGCCACCGAGGGCCCAGAGACCAAGCCTGTGTTGATGGCCTTGGGGGAGGGCCCTAGTGCAGAGGGTCCCCGCCTGGCTTCACCCAGTGGCAGCACCAGCTCAGGTCTGGAGGTGGTGGCTCCAGAGGGCACCTCAGCCCCAGCTGGTGGCCCAGGTTCCCTGGATGACAGTGCCACCATCTGCCGTGTCTGCCAGAAGCCAGGTGACCTGGTCATGTGCAACCAGTGCGAGTTCTGCTTCCACCTGGATTGCCACCTGCCTGCCCTGCAGGATGTGCCAGGGTGCGAGGCTGTGGAGTCTGCAGGGTGGAGGGCTGGGCTGGGCTGGTTCCCATGCAGCCCCTCACCTCTCCGTTTTCTCCAGGGAGGAGTGGAGCTGCTCTCTCTGCCATGTGCTGCCCGACTTGAAGGAGGAGGATGGCAGCCTGAACCTGGATGGGGGGGATAGTACTGGAGTGGTGGCCAAGCTCTCACCAGCCAACCAGCAGGTGATGGGGGGGACCCATATGCTGGGTTTTCCTGCAGCCCCCAACTCCTCTCTGACTCTTGATGTCCATGTCATCTACAGAAGTGTGAGCGCGTTCTGCTGGCCCTCTTTTGCCATGAGCCCTGCCGGCCTCTGCACCAGCTGGCTACTGACTCCACCTTCTCCCTGGTGAGTTCTGGGACTTAGGAGGGTGGGAGGTGCAGGGGCTCTTCGCCCTCACCTTCAGCCTGTGGCCTCTGCCTGCAGGATCAGCCTGGGGGCACCCTGGACTTGACCCTTATCCGAGCCCGCCTCCAGGAGAAGCTGTCACCCCCCTATAGCTCCCCCCAGGAGTTTGCCCAGGATGTGGGCCGCATGTTCAAGCAGTTCAACAAGCTGACTGAGGTGAGCCTGTGGGGATGGGGGTGAGTTGGAGGAGGGGAGGCTGGGGGGTAGAGGGGGCAGAGAGCTAGGACCCATCCACTGTAATCTGCCTGGCAGGACAAGGCCGACGTGCAGTCCATCATTGGCCTGCAGCGCTTCTTTGAGACTCGCATGAATGAGGCCTTCGGGGACACCAAGTTCTCTGCTGTGCTGGTGGAGCCCCCGCCGCTGAGCCTGCCTGGTGCTGGCCTGAGTGCCCAGGACCTGTCCAGTGGCCCTGGTGAGGGCCCCTGAGGCTGGGCAGCCCCTGAGCCAGCCCAGCCTGGCTCTGTTCTCTGTCCTGTCACTTCTCTCCCATTCTCCTCCTTCTGGTGGCCTGGCTCCCACTCCTTGGTGGCCCGTACCCTAGTCCCTCACGATATGGTTTTTACTTCTGTGGATTTAATAAAAACTTCACCAATTACTCAGGCCTTGGTTGGTGGGGGCAGTGGTCCTGGGCCTGGTGTCTGCCTGCCATCAGTCCCTCCCCGAAGCCCTTGTGCTGAATGGGGTGGGGCTCATGTCTCTAGCCATCTGGTGTCTGGGGAGGGTTACGTGGTGGGCTGGCGGATCTGTGGGCAAGCAGGGGGAATCCCCAGGTGCATGCTGCATCCTAGACTGGGGCAGAACATTTCTTATAACCAGACAGGGTATCACAGTGAGCTGGGTGGGCTGAGACTTCCACTTGGCTAATAAAGTTGGGCACTGTATCCCTGGGGGATATGCCTGGCTTCCTGGAATTATACCAAGAGGTCTGAGGGAACCCACCAACATTTTTGGGGGTGCTAGCCTCGAGGCTCAGGCAGGAGGGGTGCTGGACCAGTGTTCGCAGCTCACCATCACCTCCCGAGCCCAGAGGACCTGGTAGGCTTGCCCAGATGAAACCATTCCAGCCCTCTATCCCACACCCTGACTGACTGGCACATTACCAAGCCGCCTGAGTGACTTCCTAACCCAGCCTGGCTCACGTCAGGTCAGTCGCACAGGCCCAGAACTAGTGTCCAACCTCGTTTATTACAGAAGGTACAATGAAAATATCGGGCCATCCACTGGCTCCCTGGGGCAGCACGGGCAGTCAGTCCCTTCGAAGGTTCTTGAGCCTCTCCTCCAGGTCTGCGTCTGCGTCCACCAGGGCGGAGGCTGCAGCCTCTGCTTTCTTTCCACTGGCAGCCACACTGAGGGAGCCTCCGGTGGAAGGGAGGTCTGCAGAGAGAGGGGATTAGGAAGAGCACCCATGCAGAAGGGAGTAATGCAGGGGAAGGAGGTGGTGGCTGGGTCACAGGGTTAACACAGGGCCCAAGATGTAAACACTCACTTGACAGCTCATCTGTCAGGCTCAACCCCAGTTCATCCAGGACCTGGGCTACAACAGCATCACTAGATAAGGAGAGAATGCTTATGAGGATCAGGTGCAGAGCCAGGTATCCCTCCCCACCCTTCCTGCCAGCCGTCTCCAAACCTCTCCTCTTCGTCATCCTCATCCCCCATGGCGTCATCGATGGCGTCGTTCATCATCTCCTCCTTCATGTCCATGATCTCTGCCTGCCGCTCAAACTCCATCATGATCTTCTGGATCTGGGGCAATTTCAGCTGAAAAGGGGAGGAGGATGAGTTTGGGCCAGAGGTCAGCAGGGGTGGGGGGTGATGGGGAGAGGCAAACCTGTCTGTTCATGGTGCCCATGGCTTTGGTGACGCCCTTCATGGCTTGTGCCATTGAGTTGTTAGACTTGAGCGTCTGGATCTTGAGGGACACAGCCTGGATGTTGGCCCGCATCAACACAAACTTTCGCACGTACCGCCTGGTACGCACCAGGTCTTTCGCCATGATCCGGACCGCGTCCTGAAGAGGGGACAGAGGGCAGGGAGCGAGCCTTGGGGGTGTGCTCATTGCCACTGCGCGTGCCCACTGAGGCCTTCAGGGGCTCCTGGGGATCTGCCCCAGTGCTCACCACCCCCACCCCCCACCACGTCTTGGGTCTCCACTGCACAGACCCCTCTGTAGGCTTCTCGCTCCTGAAGAAAAGCCAGGCCCACCCTTTAGGAATGCTTTTTCCTCAATGGCTAGTCAACACCCATTCCTGAATTTCAATCATGGCCAAAGAAAATCCCCCTCCACCACACATAGGCCGTGCTCACCTCAAGCACCAAATCCTGATTTATATACAAAGGTATCCAAGCTCAGCTGTGATGTCCTCCCCAAAGCTCCTCGCTTTGCCCATCCCAGGAAATGGCACCTCCTCAAACAAGCTGCTCAGGCCAAAACTCAAGCCATCTCTTGCTAGTTGGCCCTCAGGGCAAGTGGATCTCATACCACATCTATTGAAGTAACTCCTTCAACTCAGCCCTCAGCTCCCACTGCTGCCCACGATTCTAAGTGGTCTGGCGTGGGCCACTCTTGAGTTTCCCTACTACTCCCTCACTGAACATCTGCTGTTCTGACACACTTGACACTTGGCTCTTCGCAGGGTTGCTCTCTTAATTACTCAAGGCTCTAAAATCAACTCCACAGAGGCAGCAGTTTTGGAATCTGAAACTAAGGAAAGCCCCACTCATTCCATTTCCTTAGAACATGTTAGTGTTTTCTCCCATTTGCTGCAGCCCCAGGGTCTGACCAAGCGACGGCACCTGGCCTGGAGTCTCAGCCTGTGCCCAATCAAGCTTACCATCTGGCCCTGCTTGGCCATTTTCTTGATGTCTGCGATGATTTTCTTCTCCTGGGTCTCAAGCTTCTGTCGCTCACGGTCCAGCTCTCGCATGGCCCGGTTCAGGGCGCGCTGGTTCTGCCGCAGCAGCTCCTCTGGCGTCTTGCGCCGCCCAAACAACAGGTCCATGGCCGCAGGAGCCTACCAGTAAGCCTGGGGCTAGCGTGAAACCTGGCTGCAGGGTGGTGTGAGGCACAGCTGGGGTCACATTGTGTATGGGCGGGGACAGACGAGGGCTCACAAAAAGGAAAAGGGTGAGCAGGGAGAAAACCGGTGAATGGAAAGGCCAAAGCGTGGAGCCTGGAACTTGGGGAGCCCCAGCCACCCCAGCTCCTCTTACTCCACAGTGCCCCTACGGAGGTTCTGGGCTTCAATCTCCTCCTGACTCTGGGATGAGACCCTAGAATGTCCAATGGACCCAGGCTGGAGATGACCATGTGTGGGTACAGCAGGGGGACGGGCGCGGGGAAAGGGGGCTCGGAACCTGGAGCTCCAAGGAAAGACCAGTTGACAGGATCCCTAACATGAGGAGCTGAAGGCCGCAAGTGCTACAGACAGGGTCGATGTGGGGGCTCCGAAGCTGACAGCGCTTGGACGGCATTCAGTTTAGGGCGGGGGTCTTAAATGCTGAGGGAATCTGGGTGCGGAGAATAAGGCTGGGGGATGTTGGGGACTCCTGGACAGAGGGCGGGATTTCAGGTGATGGGGTGCCTTGTTCACCCAGGAAACTCTTGGGGCCTTTCGGGGGTCTTGGGCACCGAAGGCAAAACAACATGGGGACCCAGAGAATAAGTGAGGGTCCCAGGCATGGGCGAGGCCCTCGAACGCCGCCGCCCTCGCGCCCACCCAGGACCCGCGCCCCCGTAGGGGCGACTCACCGGAGTTGGGATGGGGACTCGCTTCCGTTTCCGGGTCACGCTCCTCTCGTTCAGAGCCCTGGAGCGCCCACCAACGACAGCCCCTCCGTTCTGTCGCCTCGGCCGTCACCGCCGTTTCCGGATTAAACCACCTGACGTCACACGCCCCGCCGGCGCCCGGAATGCTGGGCGGGGACGAGAGCGCGCGTGCGCACGCGCCGAGGAAAGTGCCTGCCACAAACGCATGCGCAGCAGCTTCCGCCTCGCTGCCGCAAGCTTGGTATTCCGTAGGTTCAAGTCCAGCCTAAGGGAGCGGAGGCCCTGTCCCATCCTGGCCCTGTGGGCTTGGTGACCTTTCGGGTGCCTTCCTTCCAGCCACTCGGTGGTCCTGCACCCCACCACGTCACCCACTGTAGAGCCCTGCTCATCCGAGGGACCCAGAACTCGCGCTGATGTTTCCGAACTTCAGGTACCCAGTGGCATCAGGCAGTTTTCCTCCTCCAGTAGGAGGGCAGAACAGTAGATGGTGCGGACTTAGCCCCTATGCCGGCTCACTGGCCGGGAAGCCAGTGGTCACTGGATCCTGACCCTCCCTTGTCCCAGAGTGGGATTCATCTCACCCTGCCCGAGGCCTGGGGCTGGGATTCCCCCACCAGCACTGCCTCAGGCACTGGGCAGCCTGCTGCCCAAGGAGGGGGTGGGGTGGGGGTGGGGGGCTCCCCTCATACCACCTGTGAGCACACAACTCCCACCACTCTTGCTGCAGGAGCTCTGGCGGCCATCACCTGCCCCTCCCAGCCCACAAAAGGAAGAGGCAGAGGCCATGCAGTAACATTCCCCTTTAATAGCCTGGTGGGACCTCCAGTGGTGGAGGGGTGGGGTGCCGGGTCCCCAGCCACCCAACCCCCATGGCCACCCACCCCAGAGCCCAGAGTAGGGGGTGGGGCTGGACAGCACCCAGCGGGGGGCTAGACAAGCCAATTCATTTCCCATCGCTGAGCGGGTCGGGGGAGGCAGCGCCGACCTTAATCACGTGGTGGTTAAAAAAAAAAAACTAGGAGCGGGTAGCAGGGAGGGGTGGCCGGCCAGGGCATGGGACTCCCCCACCGGCCGCCCCATGTCCCCCCACCTGTGGCCCCCAATAAATATCTGCAGGGGACGCCGGGGCTGGTGGCCCTGGCAGGGGTGGGTATGCGCTAGCCCTATTTCAGGCAGCGCTCGAAGTAGGTGGAGCCGATATAGCCACCCCGCATGGAGCGCTGCACATTCTGCTCGAACAGCCTCCGGTTATTCTGCAGGACCTCGGCGGCTTCCTTGTTCAGTGGGTCTTCAGGGTTGGGCTCCTGTGGCCGGTATGGGGGGCGGGGGCGGGGAGGTCAACAAGCCCAGAAGGCAGAGGGCCAACCTTCCCCAGATGCCCTCCCACCCCCACCCCCACCCCCACCCCCACCCCTACTCACCAAGAAGAGATACTGCAAGCCATAAATTATGGAGTTTATCGTAAGGACTGGCTTCCAGTCCTCTCTGTGGGCAGAGAGCATCATGATAGGGGCTGGTGAGCGGGCAGCCACCACAGGCCCTGCTGGGACCAAACAGGTCAGGCCCAGGGCATGGGACAGCGCAGTCGGGAAATGCTAGCGGGAGGGTATGGAGAAGCACAGGCCAGGGAGAAAGCCAAGGTCAAGCCATGAGGCAGAAAATGAGCTGGAGACAGAGGGACACACAGACCACAAAGGGGAGGGAAGGGAAAGAGACTGGTATAGTGCAAGGTCACTAAGGGGGCCTGGCAGGCAGGGCTGGGCAGCGTAGTGGAGGGCCAGTGCCCTCACCTGAGGATGTTGAGGCAGACGTTGCCCTCGAGGTCAATGTTGGGGTGATAAACCATCGTCTCACACTTCACCTTGGGGGGGTCATGCGGGTAACCCTGGCCCACCTGGCTCCAAGAGAAGAGATGGCAGGTGGATAGGTGCACAGCAGTGCCTGGCTGGGGCCTCAGCTGTTGCTTCCTCAGCCCAGGGAGCCACCCCTGCCCACCTGAGACTCACCTTAAAACTGAACACAAACTTCCCGCTCTTGTAGAAGCCCTGTGAAGGAAGAGGAGAGGAGTCAGAACCCTGCTCTGCAAGGCCTGGCAGGTTAACCAGGTATGCCAACTTGAGGTGGTGTCACCTGCCGTGCCTGAGAATCCAGTTAAGCGTGCCCTCACCTCATCAGGACAGATAACCAGCTTGAAGTTGAGGAGGTCGTCTGGATCTGAGAAACTGATGTCACACGTCTTGGGCAGATTCAGCTCGTTTATGTCTGGGTTTTCACAGCAGAAAAGGGCAACAGGCCGGGAAGGGGAGAGATAGGGGGTGCTCAGAGCAGGTGCCGGCAGAGCCTCCACAGCCTCTCCCAAGACCCCGGCTCTGTCCTGGGCAGTGGGCCACAACCCCCACCCTCTCCCTGCTCCTGCTCCGTCTCCAGGCAGGCTCTTCTGCATCTATGGAACACCGGAGATGTGCTTGAACTCCTAACCCAGGGTAAGCTCCAACTCTTCTGAATCCACAGTCCTAAGTCCCCCAACCCAGCTCCTACATGTTCCCATTCCTATGTGCCTCGCCAAGAGCCTCTGACTACCCCCAACCCAGCATCCTGACCGTGACCTCTGCTTTCTAGAGAAATCTCTACCTGTCTGCCCAGATACAAGGATCTTATCCCCCTTCCTCACCCTGAATCACCACCACCCTCAATCCCTGGCCCGCTGTCCATACACTCCTCTCTGCTTGTCATCCTAAAATCAGGATCCCATCTGACCTCCCAATCTGTGAGTTCCCAAGCCTCCTACCCTATACTATTCTGAGCATAAGATTTCCAGCATCTCTAGGAGGACAGTCTAAACCCAACCCTACTCCTATCTCTACAATCCCTGGCACCCAGTATCCCTCCCTCCTCCTGTCACCCCAAACTGACATGTGACTCCCCCAGACCCACGACACCCAGGCCCCAAAACCTACTTCACCAGGCCTGACTCTGATTCCCAGTGACTCTAGCGTTAATACATTAAATCTCCCACCCGGATCCTCAATCCTCGACCCCACCGTCAGTATCTCCTCTTCCTGTCGCCCAGGTTCCCGTCTGACCCCCAGACTCTCGAGTTGCCGGTCTCCCCCTTCCGCTGCCACCCTCAGATTCTCGGTCCCTAGTATCAAACGCCTAGCTTTCCGAATACGCTCAGTGCCCCCTGCTCGGTCCCCCTACCTCCGACCACTTTGGTGATTGTATTACCCCACCCGTGGCCCCTCGGCCCCCAGGCCCTGGTCTCCAATCCCCACATCCGCGGCCTCCCCGTTTCTGACACCTTTGACCCCTGGCAGCCGCATTACTCCACACCTGACTCCCGTATCACCCCGAGCCAGGCTCTGACCTCCGACCTCCACTCCCATCCCCCGACTCCCCTTACCCTTCTGGATCCGCAGCTGCGCCGCCGACGCCTTCTTGCTGCTGCCCTTGGTGCCGCCCGCCGACTCCTCCTCCTTCTTCTGCTGCTTCAGCGAGAACAGCTTGATCATCCTGCCGCCGCCGCCGCTGCCGCCGCTGCGGGGCCCGGGACCCCGGCCACCCGGCCCCCCGCCGCCGCCCGCGCCGCCTCCGCCACTCGGACTCGCCGCCGCGGCCTCTTAGGCTGCTGCCGCCGCCCGCCGGGCCTGCCGCGCTGCTCCGCGCCCACCGCGCGGCCCGCGTCGGCTCCCGTAGTCGGCTCCGGCCTGGCCCGGCGCCTCGGGCCCGCTCGGCGGCGCTCGGGCCCGCTCGGCTGTTCTCGGGATCACTCGGCCCCGCCCCCACCCGCCGCTCCCTCTTCCCGGCCGTCCGCTCCGGCGTCCTCAGGCCGTGTCCCTGGGCCTGGTCACTCGCTCTCTTCGCGAGGGCTCTGCGGCTCAAGGCGGAAGGGGGAGGCGGGGGCTGCGGTGGCCGTGTACTAGACAGGAGGGCCGGCTTCCGTGGCAGCAGCGGCTTCGGCGCGGAGGTCCGCAACGGCCTCGGGCGCCCCACCGCTTCGGCTATTTCCGTCGCCTGCCCGCTTCGGCTCTTCCCGGCCGGCCTGCGCTGTGCGCTTGCGCAGCCGCCGCCACCGCCCCACGTTGCTCCGCGCTGGGGCTTGGAGGTCGAGCTCCTTCGGCTTGGCTCGGGTATTTCCGTTCGTGCAGGCCGGGCCGGCCACTTCCGGGGACGCCCGCGAGTCCAGGGAGGAGGGGTGTGGCGGTGTCGCCGCCATATTTAAGTGGGGCAGATGCGGGCCGCCATGCCCACTCGCAGTCGTGCGAACGGCGGCGCAGGCGGGCCAAACGAGGGGCTTGTCCCCAGGGGCCACAGACCGAGGCAGGGTTAGGGTCAGAGCCTGAGCAAGGCCAGGAGCGTGGCCTAGAGTGCGTGACTCAGAACCTTCGGTGTCCCATCTCAGGCCCAGAGAACCCGCTCGCAGAGAGTCTGGTTGAGGTAAAGTAACAAATAAAACATGTATTGTGTCAGAGTGTAGTATAACACTGGAGGTTTACACGAGCTCACACACTTGGGGGCAGCCCTCCGCGCGGGTCCAGAGTTTCCCCGCGGGTCTAGAGTTCCCTCGGGGCGACCTCCGGCCTTCCGCCGTCTGTTTGCCCGAGGTGGGATGAGCCAGCCTCCCCTCCAATCGTAGCTCAGCGTACATCGGAAGGCTGGAGCTGGCGGCGCGGAGCGGCTCTGAGACTTTAGGCTGTCACCAAGGACACCGTCAAGTGGTGAGCGGCGCCTCGAGGGCTGGTCGGGGCGGGGGCCGGGCCTGAGGGGCGGCCGGGGCTCTGCCCCTCAGCCTTCCCGCGTCCGAACGAGGCTCCTGCCGCACGCCCCATCCCGTCACTCAGGCGACGTGCCACCGTCTTCTGGAGTACCGTGGGAGTAGTCCCGGCAGCCCAGTTGGGCCCGCGCTAGTGGTGGGCAGGCTCAGCCCATGGCTTCCTCTTGGCGACCCCAGGCCGATCCTCATCCCAGAAAGTAACCTCCACCTTTTCGGGCCGTGGTTTGGTGTCCCTGCCGACCCCAGCCTTCTCCCGGGTACCCTCGGCGTCCTTGGGCTCCGTGGTCTCAGATCCCAGTGGTGGCTGTGAAGCCGTTTCCTTTTCCTCCCGCTTGCATTCAGTTTCTGCCATTCCAGCAGCCCCCCCCTTCAACCCTCTGGTTGTCCTCGCCCCACACTGCCGGCCTCGTTGACATCCTTGAGAGCTGTGTGCTGGAGAGGTGCTGGGGTGAGGCTGAGCGATCGGAAGCTGCAAAAAACCGCAGGTTTGGGGCGGATGAGATTGCAACCATCCTGGTGTTCTCAGCCTTCAGGCATGACTGGTCCTGGGACGCGGAGGACTCTTCCCAAGTTAGTTTTTCTCTTTCTCTCTGTTCTTCTCATCTGCTCTACTCTTGGTGATTATCTTTGTACAGGACGTGAGGGTTGGTGACCATCCTGCAGTTTCCAACCAAAATCTCAGGGATGGTTTTTATTGGCCAGCCTGGTTCATGTATCCATCCTCAGGCCAGTTGCTGAGACCCTTCAGCTAAAGTCCCATCTCGGGATAGAGTATTCATCCCCTGGAGAGGTAACAGTCCACAGTTAGACTTCTGTGATCTTTGATCTTGTGGTTTCCCCACTGTGCAGTGGGGAAGACTTGATCATGAAACAAAATGCTAAGCAAAGGGGGCCATAGTGTCTGGACCGAGGAAGAGGGGATGGCCTAAGTGAGGCAGGCGCCTGGGTTGGAGGTGGTGCAGCTAAGCTTGTCACCTTCGTGCTCACTCGAGTGGCAGAGAGGCCCAGGTGGTTTGGGTGGTACAGGTGCTTGTGGCCCTTGGGCCTGCCGCCTGTTAGTAGGCAGCACAGTTGCTTAACACGTGCAAAGGCCCTGAGGGAAGCTGGGTCCAGTGCTTTGGAGGGACTGGGCAGAGGACCGGGCAGAACCTGGTGGGTGGGTTGTGAGGATGAAAGTGCACCTCCGATTGTTAGCCTAGCCTCTGGGCCCTGCCTCTGTGAAGAAAGGGTCTGTCCAGGGAATGAGGGAGTAGGAGTGGGCAGGGCAGGGAGGCTGAGTGCTGTGGGCCTCCAGGCTCGAGGTGGATGGCTGGAATCAGAGCAGTGGTGATTGGTGGAGACAAGTGAATAGATTTGGGAGGCTGGGGTGCTGATGAGAATAACTGGATGGATGTGGCATGGGGCAGCCAGCTGGGCTTGGAAGTGGACAACATGGACTTGGATACAGACAGTCCGGGGACAGGCTGGCTGGGCACTGTTGTAGCTTTCCTAGATGACCAGTGCGTAGGTATTCCTCTCCTGGGTTCTTCTGTGGCTCTGGTCAAGTGGTCATTCTGTCCAAGCCCTCAGTCTTGGTGATCGCATGGTAACACTTGGGTCTTGACCTGTAGCTGTGTGACTGGATTGCAGAGGTGTCCCTGGCCAGCTGCAGAAATGACCTTTCATGGGTGGCCCTCACATAGCTGTTCACGTCGACTTCTCAGAGGGCTGTTTTGGGACGTGGGTCCATGGACTTCTCAAGGATTTGGGTGTGGGGTCCCATCCGGATGTCTCCATGCTTTTCACGTTTGTTGTAATTTTTCCTGTGTGGAATTTCATGTTTTTATGTAGTTGTATCTGCACAGATTTCATGATGAACACAAAGATGACCAAAGATGAGTTTTCTTTATTTCAGATTATAAGTCACACAAGTTATTTAAAAAAAAATCCACATGACAGGATTTTATAAAGTTCCAGCAACATTCCTCCAACCTGAGACCACTAGCTACTGGCTACCTGTGTTCATTCGTGTGACTTCCCTGATCTGATTCTTCAGCCCCTTCCTGTCTTCCTCTTCCCTCTGATTCTATGTATCCCACATCAGGTTTCTTAGAACCCTTTGTGACCAGAGAACTGAGTGCTGTCAAAGGGCCCAGGGGAGCGCGCCGCACCCCCCCCCCCCCACCCCGCAAGCTTCCCAGCCCTGATCTTGCCACACAGGAGTGCCTCTGCCTGGGGGAGTGGCTGACCTGCCGGATGTAGTAGATGCCAAGAGTGATTCTGGTTGTGGCTGGGGCTAGGCTACCGGGGAGGGGGAAGGAGAGGGGTAGAGTTGGGGAGGAGCGGGGGCTGAGGCTGGGAGCGGGCCTTCTCTCGCATGTTGGTAGGAAGCCTCTGGCTCAGGCTGCTTGTCTTTTCCTGATACCAGGGCCCAAGTCTTGGGACCGGGGTGACTCAAAGTGGTAGGTGAAATTCCAGCTGCGCGGAAGGGCTGGAATTGGAAGGGCTTGGTCTAGGCCTCTAGACCAAGAGCAGGCTGACACCAGCCTAGGGTGAGGTTTGAGTCCCAAGCCCGACCCTGCTGCATGAAGATCCCCTTTTTGGAACTGCCTTTCACCCACAGTCTCTGGTACTTCCGGCATCCAATGGGGGAGTGGGGGGCCGTGTCAAGGCCCCAGTGGTAGGATGGAAGGGGAGGACAGAGCAAAAGCAGCAGTGGCACAGGAAGAGGCAGGAGGGGTCCAGAGGTCCCGCCCTCAAGTCTGCAGGACTCTGACCTGGAGCTGCCAGTGTCTGTCCACCTGCATGTCAGCAGCTGGTGTGTCCTGTGAGTAGTTACTGAACACACATGACAGAGACCTTCCAGTTGGAGGGTACTTAGGGCTTGTGCCTGGGGCCAGGGAGGGAAGAGAACAGCCGGCACCTGGAGGGCTGGGGAACTAGCCTGGCCTTGCCGCCAGCTTTGGTTCTCAGACTGGCTGGAGTCTGCGGGAACAGAGGAAAGTCTTCTAAGACTAGATTCCCACTTAAAACCTTACAGCTTTTACAGTTAAGATATGGCTTCCTTGGTTTCATAAACATACAAACTCAGGCTGGCGGTGGCCTCATGGGCACCCGTTTGATGCTTTAGCACCTGATGATCTTGGCTGGCTGGCAGGGCGGTGCCCTCCAGGTCCTCCCCTGGTCTTTGGCTTGGCCAGCGGAGAGGTGGGTCGAAGGCAAATAGTACAGGAGCCCTGCTGTAAGGGGACGTCCTGCAGACGGGGGCAGGCCCTGCTAGGGGCCACATCTGTCTGGGAGCCCTGGGTCTTGCAGGAGGCACGTGGTTACAGAGAAGGTGGTAAACCAGTAGCATGGGCTGAGAGGGGTCCCGGCAAGTGGGCAGACGGTGGGTGCACACCCAGACGGAAGTTCTGTATGTTGTTTATTGAGCACCTACTGGGAGCCAGGCCCTAAGAGAGCTGGCTTGTACCGACGCGATCACGGGTCTCAGCAACCCCATGAGGTAGGTGTTCCACACACACCCTGCCTCCAATGGTGGACGATGGTGGGGCCACGCGCTCCGGCTACTCTGCACTGTGCACGCGCTGGTGCTGAATGAGCTTGGTGCTCTGGTGGAAGCGGCGGCCGCAGTCCTGGCAGGCGAAGGGCTTCTCGCGCCGGTGGGTGCGCAGGTGCTGTGTGAGCGTGGGCCGCTGGCGGAAGGCCTTGCCGCACTCGGGGCAGGCGAAGGGCCGCTCGCCCGTGTGGATGCGCCGGTGCTGCGTGAGGTTGGCGTGCTGCCGGAAGCGCTGGCCGCACTCGGGGCAGGCGAAGGGCCGCTCGCCCGTGTGGATGCGCTGGTGCTCAGTGAGCCGGGAGACCTGTGTGAAGCCCAGGCCGCACTCACGGCAGCGGTAGGGCTTCTCGCCCGTGTGCGTCCGCTGGTGGCGCGTTAGCTTCAAGCGCTGGCTGAAGCGCTGGCCGCACTCGGGGCAGGCGAAGGGCTTCTCGCCCGTGTGCACGCGCAAGTGCTGCGTGAGGGTGGGCCGCTGGCGGAAGGCCTTGCCGCACTCGGCGCAGGCGAAGGGCCGCTCACCCGTGTGGATGCGCCGGTGCTGTGTGAGGTTGGAGCGCTGGCGGAAGCTCTGGCCGCACTCGGCGCACCTGAAGGGCCGCTCGCCACTGTGCACGCGCCGGTGCTGCAGCAGCACCGCGCGGCGCCCAAAGCGCTCGCCGCACTCGGTGCAGCCGAAGCACTTGTCACCCGTGTGCACTGCCTGGTGCTCCAGCAGAACGGCGCGCCGCGTGAAGCTCTGGCGACACTCGCTGCACGGGAAGGGGCCTGGGGGCTCGGGCGCACAGGGAGGAGCGGGGGGCGCGGCGTTGGGGCCCGGCGGGTCGCCGTGGATGCGCTGGTGTTGCAGCAGGTTGGAGCGCTGGCGGAAGCTCTGGCCGCACTCGGCGCAGCGGAATGGCTGCTCGCCCGTGTGCACGCGCCGGTGCTCCTCCAGGCGCGCGCTGCGGAGGAAGCCCTGGCCGCAGTCGGCACACACAAAGGGCCGCTCCTCCGTGTGCGTGAGCTGGTGGCGCAGCAGGTGTGAGCTACGGCTGAAGCTGCGGCCGCACTCGCCGCACACGAAGGGCCGCTCTCCGGTGTGGATCTTCTGGTGCCGCAGCAGGTTGCTGCGCTGGCTGAACACCTTCCCGCACACATCGCAGCGGCCCCCTCGCTCAGCTCCGGCCCCTGTGCCCGGGCGCCCCTGAGCCCGGCTGCGACCCCTGGGGGCACGCCAGCTCGCTGCGGCCAGTCCGCGGCCCACGGCCTGGCGGGCATCCTCCGTGGGGTCCAGCTCACCTCCCAGGTCGCTGGAGAGCACTAGCGCGTGTGAAAAGCCAGCTTCGTGGGAGGCTGACTTGAGTTGGCCTGTGATGCTGGCCACACCGAGGTCCCAGGGCAGGTGGACGTGGGGGTGCACGATGTCTGGGTCCACAGAAATGCTGTCGATCTGGAGTGTAAACCCTGCATGGCACAAGGGGATCCACTCATTCATGACAGAGAACCCGCTGGTGCCCAGAGACACTCCAGCCCTGGCGAAAGGGTGTGAAATGGAGCGACCTAAAACTGTCCAAAGAGGCAGACAGAAGTCACCTGGGCAGGGGCAGGGGTTCTGTCTGAGCAGGCTTCCGAAGGCGGTAAGGATGGGACAGACAGGTGGAAGACTAAAAACGGGGGACCGGCTTTCCAGGTGTGGTGTAAGTTTGCATAACCGCCTTTCCGGAAGGGCTGTAGTGCAAAGGTGGCCCTTGCACTGGGCAGGTGGGTGATGTTGGTTCCCACAGATGCGGAGAAGTGGGTGGGTTTGAGGGAGGCTAGAAGTGGAGCGGACAGGCGGGAAATTCTGGCACCAGGACCTCTGTCTGCTGTGCCGTGCCTGTGATGTCCGCGGGACTGCTGTGGCGCCGCTGAACCCGTGTGCAGCCACTGGGGCACAGGGGTCTCGCCCTGTCTGTAGGGAAGTATGGACATGGTGCCGTGGCATTTACAGGGCACACGAAGCCCTGGGCCTGCCTGTGATCAGACAGGCGTGGGCGTCTGGCTCAAAGGAGCAGGTTCCAGCCAGGCTGCGAGCACTCCATCCTTAGATGCTGGAGGAGGGAGGAGATGTAAGCATGGCACAGAGGAGGAGGGGGTTACATCAGGGACGCAGAGAGGGGAACAGGGGTTTCAGGGATGACAGAAAATCTATAAGCTGCCAAGGAAAATGCAGATAAATTATACTGCATCAAAGGAAATCATTTGTGCTCAGCAAAAACCCTCAAGAGTCAAAAGATGAATGACAAACTGAGGAACCCTCCAGAGGCAAGGGTCTAATTAACCAAAGTAAGAGCGGCAATCAATCAGCAGGAAAGAATGTGGGCAGAAGACTGGAAAAGGAAAGGAAATGTCACTGATGCTTAAATTCCCTAAAACATGCTTAGTTCCCCCCATAAGAAAACTGCACATTACAGCCATACTCATCTGCAGTTCCACATCCTTACTCCAGAACCCAAGTGTCTGTGTGCATTGCTGGTGAGCACAGACAGAAGTTGGTGTCGTCAAATACATCAAACAACAAATTTCCCGTAGGCTAATCCAACGATTCCACTTCTAAGTACTTCTCCACCAGTTGTGTTCCTCCCTGTGTGAAATGACCGGTATAGTGAGAGAGTCAATTCCTAGGCAGGTTGATAAGAAGTCTAGGGGTCCCCATGGAGAGAGTGGTCTGGAATTCTCAAGGAGGCAGAAAGGACAAAATTTTTTCCCTCTATATTCCTTAGGATTATATAACAATAATGTATCCTGCTTGAGGACAGTCTCTGGAAAAAACCTGGCTAATTCTGTTATCTCAGTATGTAAATCATGGGAGTAGGTCTGGTGAGGTCTTTACAACCTCTAGACATTTTTGATTCACTGTAATAACTAATTTGAGAGTATATAATTCCAGTGCTAAGACTAGCAAGGGGGTACTCTTTCTACCCCCTTCTGATGTCCATGTCAGAAGCTTTCTCTATCTCCTTTATACTTTAATAAAACTTTATTACACAAAAGCTCTGAGTGACCCAGCCTGGTCTCTGGCCCCGGATTGAATTCTTCTCCTCCAGAGGCCAAGAACCCCGGCGTCTTTGCATGATCCAGCAACAACCTTTCAATAGGAGGGTTCTCAGTTCTCACTGAAAAATAACTCAAAAGAGTGTCAGTGGGAACCTGGATGGGTAAACAGGTGTGTCGTGGGGAGCTGTCTAAAGAGGAGGGTGCTCGCTGCTATGTGTTCAAGTGGGAAGATGCACGAAAAATGTCAGGAGGGGAACAGGGTGAAGATTAAGCTTCCATGTGTGTTTTAAAGACGGCAAACCACATTTGTGTTTGCTTTCCTGCGCACACAATCTTTCTGTAAGTCCATACAAAAGACCGGTGATGCTGGCTGTTGGGGTGCAGGACCGTGTGACTCAGGCAGGGGAGGGGCGCTCCACTGTATATGCCCTTGGGCCTTCTGAATTTTCTAACGTGAATGCTACCTATTCAGAATGTTCTCCTGATGAAAACACTGGCTGCACTGAAGTTCCGTGGAGGGCAAGGGGAACAGCCAGGACACCTGGTGCGGAGCCCACAGTGGCTGAGGGACCCCGTATTTGAAGCAGGGGCCATAGTTGTCTGTGGGTGAGTGCAGCCTGAGGAAAGATGGGACTGCAGTGAAAGGACCTGCGGAGGAGCTGTAGGTGGAGCCGCCAGTGTGGCTGGAGAGAGCAGAGGCTGCGCTGTGCTGAGAGAGGCAGGGCGCTAGCTGCCCAGCAGGGCCCCCAGCTGAAGGCTGAGACAGTGGAAGGGGTGGCTGCCAGACCTCCTCTCAGCTTCAGTATGCAGCACTGACAGAACATAAGAGAAGAACCTTAAAAATACCTGGGGCAGCTCCAAGACAAGAAAGGACCGTCGAGAGCTTGTGCACCATGCTCCAAAGTGGTAAGGCTGTAGAGACTGGGGGCTGAGGCCAGGCTCTGCCGTGAAGCTGGGGGTTGAGGACTTGGCCTGGGTGAGCTCAGTCCACCCACAGACCTTTGGTGTGGGTGAGCCTGCAGAGGGATCTCCACTGAACAGCTGGGGGCCCAGGTGAGCCTTCCAGTTCAGAGTCACAATGGACTCTGTGGCAGCCTGTCACCCAGGATGATGCTTAGTGCAGGGACAGACGAGGAACTCCCCAAGCTGTGAAGGGCAGGCTGTTCATAGTGCAACCAGTGGGAGCACTCGCACCTCAGGAAACCAAGCTAGCTAACAAGTCCAGAAATAACATCAGGTATGTCCAGGTTCTCAAAGGATGGGTCAACATCCATGAAGAAAGAATGAGTTTGGGCCCTTTATTGATAAAAACAGCAAATGGGGACTTCTGGGTAATAACAGTATCTATTTACATTGGTTTCATTGTGAAACAGCATTAAAAACCTCCATAAAGGTTTTCTTTGGTTTTGTTTTCTTCAAGGTATAAAATCCACAAAGATGAAGAGGAAAGGAAACAAAGCAACCCCTGATATTTCTACTCTGGATGGGAGACCAAACAAACAGTAACTGTGCAGCAGTGGGGAAAAATGGAAAGAAATCAACCTGTTTGATCTCAAAGGCTCAAAACATTCAGGATTTGGAAGGACCAAGTCCCTCTGGCCATGCAGGTAAAGGGGCAAGGACACCAGGTGGGCAGGGGAAGCTGACTCAAGCTGAAGCTGGGCTACCTCAGGGAACAGCGCTGGGCCCTCTCTGCACACAATTCTGAGGAAATGGAGGATGCGGGCAGGCATTGCAGTAGCTCTGATTTCTGGATCTCTTCTCCCATCCTGGCAAAAGGCTGGGTTGAGGGTGTGCGCCAACATTGAGGAAGTCGAGGGGGTAAGCGAAGACACCCAGGGGACTGAGATGCCAACCTGTCTCCCAGCCGGGATGCAGGCAAGAGGCTAGACATGCCTTCTTAGGACACTCAGAGGAGAGAACTGAAGACCCTCACAGCAAGGGCGCTGCCTCCACGCAGCCCAGCCAGGGTGCCCTATGACTCCTTCAGTGGCATCCACGGTTGCTCCACCCACCCACACATGTCTCCCAAGAAGTGGGTCTCTGTGGGGAGCAAACTCTTCATCTCTCCTAGCTGCCCTCTCTTACCTGCCAGAGAGATCAGAGAGCACACTGGGAGAAAGCTTGAAGACAAGTCATCATTTGTTGGGCTCCAAAATCACTGTGGATGATGACTGCAGCCATGAAATTAACAGACACTTGCTCCTTGGAAGGAGAGCTATGAAAAACTGAGACAACGTATTAAAAAGCAGAGATACCACTTCGCTGACAAAGGTCCATATAGCCAAACTATGGTTTTTCCAGTAGTCATGTATGGATGTGAGAGTTGGAACGTAAAGAAGGCTGAGCACTGAACAACTGATGCTTTTGAACTGTGGTGTTGGAGAAGACTCTTGGAGAGTCCCTGGGACTGCAAGGAGATCCAACCAGTCCATCCTAAATGAAATCAGTCCTGAATATTCATTGGAAGGACTGATGCTGAAACTGAAGTTTGGCTTCAGTTTGGCCACTTGATGTGAAGAACGGACTCACTGGAAAAGACCCTGATGCTGGGAAAGACTGAAGGCGGGAG